TCTCTGTCCAGGGTTTGATGTGGTTAGAAGGAAAAGAAAGGGTTTTAGAAGAAATGAAAGCCAAGAGATGAGAAGAAGCTCGAGTAGATGGCAGGAGGAAAAAGGAGAAGAGAAAAATCGACAAAAAATAATGTTTAAAAGAATTTAATTTAATGGACATCAGAGGAAGATGTGATGGGATTGAAGTGACAACAGGGTTAACACAGGACAAAAAGAAGGCTGGGACTTTCTCTTCCCTAGTATCTCATATTTCTGTGCGCTTTGGGAGTGAGTGCAAAAAAGAGGGCGCATTCTCATGGCTTTATGTGGCCTATTGAACACAGAACAAGCCCTCACCTCAACAATATATCCAGCTTCAGAACTTCTCTGAGAGCAGGGCACTCATCTTTCCAACTTCCCAGGTCCTGCCTGTGAAATACCGTTTGAAGTCCACTCTGGTGATTGTTTGGTCTAGTTGATGTCCCTTAGATCATCTTTGTCAGCAGCCATCCAGTATCCCCTTCATGTTATGAGTTCCCCCTCCTTGCAGCAGCTCAGAACCAGCCACCTGATGTTAATCGGACTCTTTCTAGTGTTGTTAAAACGCGACATCAAGCATGTTATTGCAGACTAAAAGGATGAATGGTGATTGTACCATTGAGCAAACAAAAGCGAGCTGTTTGACTTACAGTACATGCACCCCAGCATCTTCTCAAGTTCTAAGAACAAACTGGAAGCAGTTGTGGAATTCTTTGGTTTGTGTATATCAGTGTTGTTGATGTAAATGCTCCACTCGCATTGCATTGTTTATTCAGTGTTCCACTCCGATGGTACTTCTATTCTCATGTCCATCCAACAACAGTGTCTACTACTTCTACTGTCTACTGACAGTTTTATCTTTTTGTTTCATTTTTGTTTAGTGCACCTGTAGAGCTATTCAGTGATGATTTCTGGACTTGCCAAAGACCACAAGAAGAATGTCTGAGGAAGAAACCAAACGTTCCTCTCTCCTGCCTTTTGTTCCCTTAAATGATGTAGATGTCCAAACACAGGACAGTGATGCAGGATCAAAGCAAAAATGGGAGGCTCCTACTGATACTCTTGGCCTGAACTTAAGATTAGGGAAGGGTCCATTTAGTCCAGCTGGACTGTACGAGTCAGGGGAAGCCCTGGGAATCTGGATCTGCTTGATAAAGAAGGAAATACCACAATTTATTCTTGAGAGTGGGTCACTGGGTTAAACCTTAAGCTGACATCTGTACTTTCATCTGGCCTCCAGCAGAGCAGAGAGAGGATCTAGACAGATAAATCCAAGAGAACAGGCAAAACTAGGGAAAGCTTCCCTTTCTTCTACTACTCTGAAGATTCAGAGAAGGAGGAGAGAGAGATAGAAGTTTGTGAAACTGAATGATGTGCTGGTGGTCTTTGCCTCATTAGGACCTCCCTGGAGTCTTTGATGGCCGCTAAGGGCCAGAGGGTGAAGTGGCAAAGACTGAAGAATTGAAGGCTTATCTTCTCTTTTCTCACTTATACTTTTCCCACCAAACATTTATTTTCTTATTTTTTTCTGCTCCTTTTCCAGCTCTACCTTCTCTTGTCCCCTCCCCTTCTTCTGTTTTTACAACTTTTCTCCTCAGCCTCCCACTTTCCAAGATGTCTTCATTGCTTCCCCAGAAGGTAATGGTCTGGCAGTGAGAGCTGACATAGGGGTCTGATTTGTCAGGGTCAATGTGATCTAACAATCCATCAGATCCATCAAGTCGATGCTGCAGACTCCTGGGGGACTTGGTTTTTGTTTGGCTAAGCTGCTGATGGAAGCGAAGTCTCTGTCAGGGAAGCCATTATTAGCACAGCGGGCCCAGAAAAATGAGCCGCCCTTGTCACTCCACATCAGGAGCTCAGCCACAGTCGCAGATCCTCCTCAGACAGCCTCATATGTGACTGCTGTTTGTTCAAACCTTTGAACTATGGACAGCTAGATACATAGATGAATGAGACCCTGTGTGAAATAGCTGTGGAGTGCTTCAGACTGGTTCCCAGTCTTGGATTGATGGTGAGTGCTGGCTTGTTATCTGGGGTGAAGAAAGAGGACAGGTGAAGAGGGAGTGATGAGGCTGACTTCAGTACTTGTCCCATAGCAACTGGCTGCATCACCGTGGGCATGGTTCTGTAGGAACTGGTGAGAATATAAAATACAGTCAAACAAATCCAATTGGAGAGAGAAATCCATCAGTTTGATCCAACATTGGTTGACAAAAAAACAAACAGTGAGGCACAGTTTTCACACAAGAGAGCGAGGGGGAGAAAATATTCCAAGATTTTAAAAAAGTGCTGTCTATCTGTTTAGAACAGGTGTTTGCACTGCAATTGGCATTGAAATTACAATGCAGCATTCACACACACTTCATTCTGTGATTGGCCATTTGTGCCCAGGTGACAGATTAAGAGTTTAGCTTCTCTCTCTGGTACAATCTTTTTCCAGTCTCTTATTTTTTTGTGTGTGTACAAGGAGTGCTACACTATGAATGCCTTCTAGGAGATGGGGTCTGAAAATGTGTTATTGTCCCCATGTTTGAACAATCTCCACATTTTGCGTCTCGTGGCATGACAGCCAGCTTGTCATTCCACCTTTGAGTGTAGCCGTTAACAACTGTTGTAAACAGTATTGCCTTCATATGTAGCCAGACACCACTTGTAAATGAAGTTCTTCTTTTCAACCAAGGTGGTAAATTTCATAGGAGCCAATTAACTTTTTTCCAATTTTAAAGCTTAGGTTTCAGCCTCTGCCATTTCTTTCCTCTACCATTCAATGCACTGCATCATCTTTGCACATTGTCTCCTCTTACCCTTTGTTTGGTGATGGAGATGGAATGCCTCCACCTTGCATGTCATGGCTTCAGACTAAACATACTCTTCTAGTGCTGATGCATCAGTGTAGCGGCTGCCTCTAATGATGGCAAATTTATCTCATTGGAAAAATAATGATTTCACTGGCTGCCGTTCCCACAGATAGGCCCAGTATTTGTCTTAGGCTATGTGTCCTTCACTGAGCTGCTGAGCTTGGGGATTGGCTGCCTCTGCCCTCATGCCTGCCTGCCGTATATCAGCAGTGCTGCCGCTGTCAGACGCCTGATTTATGGCTGTTTATCTCCAGTCACACCTCCCTCCTCCAACAGATGGGCTCTGGCTATTTATTCAGGGAAAGAAAGGTCCCAAACTGATTGAATAAATACTACAAACAAGGGGTAATCATGGAGAAGTTGGCAATTACAGTTTATTGGTCACCAGAGAAAAGAGGAGCTTGATTTGTCTGTGTTGTTTATCAGGTGTGACACTGCCATAGGTTTCCCTCTTATCTCAGTTACTTTTTGCACTTAAGCATGTGTAGACATACTAGTCCTTGTGAGATGACATGATAGTCCTGCATAAGCATGAAAAGCAACAGCTTTATCAAGAGTCCCCTGATATAATTTATGGTTATTATCAATGTAATTGTGATACCATTTCTTCAGCTGTCATGTTCTACCGGCTTGTCATCTTAAATCTCTCCAAGTATATGCTGTAAATCTCCCTGTCTGCCAGGTCTTTACAGAGAAAAAAAGATATTGCACTATAAATTGTCAGTTACAGACTTAGATGGGCTTCAGTTGATTTCCGAGTTTCTGGAGAAAGCCCTCATATCCTGACAGTATCAATTTTTCAAACAGTCCTATTATTGTTGTTGCAGTGGGGGTTTTTTGTACCTGTAAGTGTCACAGATTATTTTTCACAATTTGATGGATAAAACTATTTTAACTTTTGCACCTGTCAGTCATAAATTGTGATTCCTGCTTCATGTTTCTCATAATGTGATGCTAAACTACAATGATGTTGGGCTCAAATACAGATAATAGCTTTGAACATCCTTGTCTGCATATTGCATTCCATAGAGATACTTTCATACACCATGCAGTAGGATTAAAGCTTAAAAGGTTCCGTTTATGAGCTCAGATATAGACTTATTCACATGGCAGCAGCTTTATCTATATAACTGAGAGGATTAGTAAAAATGTATGCCAGTCAAATATTCTTGTAAGGAGAACTGATTTATCAGCACCACAAGAATAAAGGACAGAAGGACATTGATTTAGTTTGTCTTGTGTGTGCCTATCCGTTATCGCGACTGCATGCAACTCAAACTTGTGCCGTGCTGACAGAAATACGTAAATGTTAACAGGTCCGACTTGGTAAGATTGCTGTCATGACTTATGTGACCAGGGTGTTCATTCAGGCATGAAGCCAACATGTTCAGATGCCATCAGATTAATGGAAAGGAGTGCATGTCTGAAAGGAGCTTTATAATATGTAACCAGGCGAGACCCTCCTGGAGGAGTGGAGCTGCTGGCACCGGCACGTGGGAGAGGAGCAGGAAGGAAATTGCTTCATGGCCTATGTCGCCAAAGCTTGGCACAGCGGCCAGTGAATTATTTAAGATGCATAGTGTGACTTTATGAACACACAGATAGGGTAGTTTTTAATAAAATTGCTTAACATGGTTGATTGTGATTTTGAACGAAATATGACAAAGAACAACTAAAAATTTAATATTCTGAAGTGCCATTTTGTTCCTGGCCAACATCCCCTTTAAACTACTGATCATAATTATAAAATTATGCAAATAGCAGTTAAAATGTGAACCCACTTACAGTTAGTTACTCATTTTGGGCTGTTTGTGGTTTAAAGGAATTTCCAACCTGCTGCTGCTGCTGCTGGGGCGACAGAAAATTAAACTGCAATTCTCCAAAATACAGAGCAGCCAAAACATAGAGTGAAATGTTAACCCAGTAAATAAACAGTCAGAGGAGAGGAGCCAAAGACAACAGAACGTGAAGGGAAAGTGTCCTGCTGGCATCAGATTTCCCAGAGTAAGTGTTATTTGAAAAGCAGCAGAAGGGT